ATTCTGTTACCAGCTTAACAGTAAAACAGTTTTCCTAAGACTGCTTCTACTGAAAAATTCATGGAATTTATAGTTTTGTTTTAATGTTCACTTGAAAGCATTTGGATAATTGCACGCTCAGAGGATGGTGTGTTTCAAAGGGTCTTTGTACATGGCAGGACAGAGAGGTTAACAATGGAAGCAGAGCTGGGGATGTGTCCTGGCATTCCACAGCCCTTGGTTCCTGCTTTGGCCAGGCTCAGGAGAGTGACCTGGCAGAGAAAAGGGTTAAATAAAAATAACATTGCTGCAGAGGGGCCGATGAGATGCAGCGCGAGCGCCGCTATTTCTGTTCTCTGACGTGTGCTGTGGAAGTGGGCTGATAGCAGAGCTCGGTGAGTCCCATGCAGAGAGAAATTTAAAAGGCAAAAAGATTGGCTCCACCAACTAGCCCAGCTGCTGCTAGTGCAGAAACTTGCCTTGTCTGGGCAAGTTTTACTGACCCCAGTCTCTGGCTTCTGTCTCTTGCCTGGAGATGTTTTTGTGGCATAGCTGTTCCTCCTCTTTCCCCTACTAGTGCATTTTTGGTGTGAGTCTACTTTCTCCTCCTCCTTGGCTCTCGAAAGATTTCTGGGAAGGCTGTCAGTTGTTTCTTTTTGCTGCTGAGGGAAGCAGGTGGAGGAAGGCAGTGTCATTTTGGAGCCACGGACAGGGAGAGAGGGCAGGACAGGGAGAAGTGTGAACGCTGCAACGTGGGCTGATATTTCTGTACTCTGTGGTAAAATAACCTCCTTCTGCTAGCAGGCAAATACTGATGTACCTGGCATCTGCCAAGAGTCCCTCCCCAAACCTGTGTGAAAGGTGCAGTGATACACTATAATTTTGATGTTCTAACAGCCATAATTGTTCCTGAAAGAGTGTTGTTTTTGTTTAAATAAGCTCCTTGTTACTGCAGGGGCAGCTCTTTGTATGTAATCCACAGCTTTTCTTTTATTAATGCCATGTTGTATCACAATCTGAAACCAAAACTGGCCACTGCTTTTGTTTCTTTTTCAGTTGATAGTTGTCTCAAACAGTCTCTCAGCCAGTCAGTTTTACTTCTAATACAAAGACATTATTCAACCCCCCTCCCAATTTAATCCTGTATGTCTCTCATCTGAACCCATACAGCACATGAATAGAATGTCAGTTGCTCACAAATCCATTGCTGTGCAGGCTTTTATATAAACAAAGTCCTAAGGATAAGCAAATGCCTTCCTTCTAATTAGCAGCATGTTTTGTGGTTCCATACATTCCAGTATGTAATAGACAGCTCTGGTGCTTAAAATAATCCCAGGGAAAACACTTGTGTGCTGTGAAGATTGGGGTGGGAGGGGGAGGAGGCAGGAAAAAGTGTTGTCTGTGTTCTTGGAAGCCTTTTCTCTCTTCATTTGCATGCTGTCAGCTTCTTTTACACAAACATTACAGCATCCAAGGGGAATTAGAAATACTTACCCATGACCACATCAGATTTTAGGTTTGTCAGGAGAAAGCAATGCAGAAGCAGGACCTTGGTCCCACTGCTTTCATCTTGGTTTCAGCATGCTGATAAATGCCTCCTAATGCTGGAAAGAGGTAAGGCTGACTGTCTAGGTGGAATACAGGAAATTTAAAAGTCTTACCTCATAGGTTAGAAATGGGTTTTGGATCTGTAAAAGTGCTGTGTAAGTCCAAAGTAACAGTTATTGTCTGTTGTGGTGTCTCTAAAGTTACACAGCAGCTTCCCTTTTATTACCAGTCTGTTATGAAGTGGTTTGGGACCATTGGGACAGAGAGACAAAAGTGGGATGCTTCTGGTCAGATGACTCTTAACTGAGATAATAGTGGTCAAATTGAGCCTTTTAAGTTCAACAAGGTTTTTTTGTGAGTCAGCTTATCCCAACAGCAGTGGTAATAGGAAAGGCAATGGTTTTGGTTTGCATCCAACCTTTTGCACCAGTCTGGGCCATACCCAGTTCTGGGACCTCACTAACCTGTGTAGGGCTGAACAATTGAAAGTCTGTAAGGTCAGGAGCCTGAAGGCCAGACAACCAAAGGGCTGGAGCAGCAGCTGATGATGGGGCTTTTTACCCATTGCTGAGTGGAATGTAATCCACATTGCCAAAGCACATCAGCTAAAGTTGTGATTTTGGGAAACAAAACCAAATGAGCTGTTTCATACAGCTGCATAATTTCCTTGAGGTGCAGATCTGCTGGCTGCACACAAACCAGTACAGTCCTTTTGCCATGGAAATGCCATCCTGGTTCCTAATCCTTGCACCTTGGCCCTTGAGGGAGGTGAGAAAGACACAGGAGAGAGTCAATCTGATGACCCAGAAATGAGCTGCCAGTGTTTAATGGTGAAGATAATCAACTATTGCAGTTAACTTACCTAGGGGATGTACCTGTACATCAGATCACAGTGTGATCTGAAATCTGTCTGAGTCTAGATTGGATGCCTTTCAAAAGAAGGTGCTTTGGCTGAACTGCCAGTCCTTGGGTTTCATACAGGAACACAAAATGTCCTGGCCTGTGCCGGACACGATGTCAGAGCAGCTCAAGGGGGGACAGTTTCTATAATGCAGCTCCTCTTGTGACATTGTGCTGTTCTCCAGGCTACCACAGGGAGCTGGTGATGCAGTTCCTGCCCCCTGTGCCCCCCATGCCCCTGGGGTGCTGACCAGTCAGCCTTCCCACCATTCATGGGCAGCTCCCTCACAGTTCCTGCTCAGTTATCTGAGAGATAATGTCCATCCTGATCCCCCGTGACCCCAGCACCTTGGGAACCCCACAAAGAGGGGAAAACAAATGAAACATTTTCATCCTGTCCTCCCAGGAGCTTCCAGAGGTGGACATCTCTGTAGCAGCATAAATGGTGGTGGGCAAAAAGGCAGTGATGATCCAGTCCATGTGTTGGGAGCCTTCCTGTGTCTCTTGGCCAGTGCTGGCAGAAGTTGCTCTCATTAACGAAGTGTCAGGAAGGCACCAGTGCAACTGTGCTGACAGTGAGCAGCTGTTGTGGTGCTGTCCTCAAGGGATGGGTGCCTGCAATCTGAGATTTCTCCCTTTTTCTGCACAGAAGTCATTTCCCAAAGTATTTACCGTGGTTTTGATCTTTGCCCAAAACCAAAATTTCTTTTCTATGGCTGGAACAAAATTTGGATTTGGAAAGAGCGAGACTCTTCACTCACCGGATGAGGTTGTACATATGTAAAACATTGGTATGACTTTCCATTTTTTGTTTGGTTAGAGACAATGATGTTGCTAAAAATTCAAATGTAAGAGTCTCATTTAAGCATTACTCCCTTGCAATGGGTGTAACAGGCCCACATAAATGTAGCCACAAAGTATTATATTTTAATAAACTTGGATAGATTATAAATAGACAACTTCTATGTCCTAAAATATCATGAAGTGGGATTCAAGCTGAATTTTTAACCTTTCTTTTCCTACTTTTTAAAAATGTGTAGTAATATTACAGCAATAGTTTGTAGCACAGAAATAAACATGCTGGCCATGAGAGTTGGAGTGGTGCGTGGCTGACTGGAAATCTTCCTTCCCATCTCCTCTCCAGGACACTGTCCCCATACCAGTGCCAGCAGTGGCCTCTCCTGTCCCCCAGGCAGTGCAGAAAAAGCCTAAAACTCTATTTTCATCACACACACAGGGGCTGTTTGAATGGAAAACTTGAGCTGCTGATATTTCCGTGGAGATCAGCTTAGATCCACGATAACACTTCTCAAGGACTCATGTTTTCAGTTTTCTTAGCTATTTTCTGCAACTCCCAAAACAAAAATATCTCTGCTCCAAATTCAGAAAGGTCACTGTCTTCAACCACAAATTTAATTAACAGCTTTCCCCTTCTACAGACTTTTTCATTCCCCTCTTTAGTTAATTTTAACCCAATGTCCCACTTTAGGAGCCTGTGTTTTCCACTTGAGGGAGTAGATGCTCAGAGGAGTGGCCCCAGGGAAGCTCAGCTCAGTAAGTGATCACCAGTGGGAGCCAGGCTTATACACAGCATTCCCATCTCCTGTTTCAGACAAAATGTCTACAAAAACAATACTACTGCTTTGCTAAATTCCTGCATTCTGCAGATGGGAAACTCAATTTCTACAGGGAGAGCCAGGCTGGTTTGGGGCAGCTCACGGTGCTCTGTCTTTTTGCTGCTGCTGCTAATTTTTGTGAGCACCATAGAATACAGTAGAAAATTGAAACTGTGTGAAAGATCAACAAATCAGTGTAGAATGTCACGCAGCAACATCTGTTAACTTTGGCTCTATCTCATATCCTCCTGACCCCCTCCTTCCCAGGCACAATCTCCTGTTTTGTGAGAGCTCTGAGTGATAGGGGCTTGGAGGGGAGGGGTGTGCAAATGGCTCACTGTTTCTCAGCACTCTGAAGGTCTTGCAGAAGTACCATCTGGAGTGAAAGCTTAATGTTTGTGTGTTTCTGTATTTTTAGTTATGAAACAAATGGGAATTTGCTGAATGAATTAATTGTATTGCTCTGTAAAAGTCTATCTTGAGAGCCATTATGTATGGGAGCTTACAAAGCCTGTGGAGAGAAAGGAAAGTGGCTTCCCTTTCTAATTAGGGCTTTCAGGAAATCATTGATTACAGAATCAAGTAGGGTTGTTCAGAGACATTTGTTTGATAGTACTTCAGATAAATGAAATTAGTGCCTAATAATAATTTTGCTAGTGACACTGGAAGCAGATGTACTTTCTAATGGTAAGCTTGCCCTGAATAAAGCTTCTTCCCCTCTTCCTTCTTGTCCAATTATAGCTGATGAAACATCACTTCCAATCTGTAGGTCCCAGTAAAAAAAATCTAAATCGTGAAAAAGTGAGTGGTATAGTGAACAGTATGTTCTTAGTGGGAAGGTGTTTGTCTGTACCAAGGTAATGCTTGTTCTTATACTGCATATAAAAAAAAGTCAAAACAAAACTTTGACCTTGATTATATGTAGAAATATTTTACTTTTTTTTTTTTTTCCAACAGGGTCAGCATATTTCATTAGCTCCCATTCAAAAGTTAGAGGAAACTTTGTATGAATATCAGCCTCTGCAAGTGGAGACCTATGGACCACAAGTTCCAGAGCTTGAGATGTTGGGAAAGCTGGGGTAAGTAAATCAGTGCATTTTAAATCCCATATTATGGCATTGTAGCTGGGATTGTTACCATCTTCAGATTGCCAGGGATCTTTTTTTCCTTTCCTTTTTTTATTTTAAGGGATCTTAACGAAATATTAGACTTCCTGCCCAACCAACATTTTGTTTGGGTGGATAAGCAGAAATTTTTGGTCCTCTTGCCTTTATAGATCTATTGAGAGCTGGACTGGATTGCATTAGTGTTTTTAAGGTTGTCCTTGGCAGTCATAGTGAAGTAGCTGTTCATTTTCAGTTGCACGGTATTAAAAAATAAATAAATAAAAATCTGGGGCTTAATTTACCCAGCTGTAAGCCAGTAAAAATATTAAAGTTGGGCTGTTTGCCATGGAAAAGGGTAGATTTACTTGTCGGCTGCTGTCTACAGTCAAACTGTGTTTGTGAGAAATGAAGCACAGAGCTTAACTTTGTCAAAAAATATAATGCAGGGCTGGTCCAGCAGCTTGGCAGCATCGTGGTGTGCATCCATGTTTGAGAGAAAGGGAGTTTGGGAGCCTTCTGTGCCTGGGTAAGGGGGGCTAGGAAGTGCAGGAGTGATGTGCTGGTAGCTGCAATGCCACCTGGATACTGGAGCTGCTGGGAGAGTGTCACCCAGCTCATCAAGGCCTGACCCTCAAGGTCATCAGCACTTGCAGTGCCTGGAAACTGCAGGGCAGAATGAATGTGCAGGCTGGCAAGGCAAGAAAGAGTTTAAAAAAAGAACAGTTTACCTTTGGCTGTGCAATCTGGGAAAACTGAAGCCACAAAGTACTGAACAAAGTTGAGGCAATTGAGTGTGCAGTTTGGGAGACCACTGAAATCCAAACAGGAATCCCATCTAGCTCACTGGCATGGGAGAAGCTGTATCTCATCCAGGAAATGACAGAGGTAGATAGGCTTAGGAGGGTAAATAAGCAACCTAATGGTGCTTCAGAAAACTGAAGTGAGAAGTGACAGTGAAAACTGCCTGGGAGTGAGGCTGTCTCCATTTTTACTGTTTCTGTGTCCTCCTGATGCCTGTAACTTTTATTATCTTCTGGTTTAAAGGATTTTCTCTGTAAAGTGTTGTGCTGCCCCAGACCTGGTGCCTCTAAATGCAGTGGACATAGATGACTGTTCCTGATGGATTTGGACACCAGCATTCATGGGGCACAGGCAGAAGTATTAATTAGGAGTTCAAAGTTGGGCAGAGCCTGGCTCAGCCTTCACCACCTGTTTGGATGGAGCACAGCTGTGAGGGACCTCCAGTGTGAGAGGGGCTTGGAGGCCCCTTCAGCCTCACCACAAACAAGAGAAAGATGCAGGGAGGATTCCCTTTGCCTGTGCCCCATGAATGCTGGTGTCCAAATCCATCAGGAGCACTGTCCTTTATGTCCATTGCATTTAGTGGCACCACTTCTGGGGCAGCCCAACACTTTACAGAGCAAATCCCTTTAAACCCTGCAGTTGTGTCTGTGTGGGATTCAGAGCAGGGTTTGCTAACAATGCCACAGTCTTTCCTTGGAGATACTTTGAGAAGTGCCATTTTCCTCCTGTGAGCAGGGGCAGCCAGGCTTGTTGGGCTGAGGGGAGCAGGGTGGCTGTGGCAGCAAGGGGAGCTCAGGGCTGGCCGGGTGGGTGGGTGGGTTGGTGGTGCCCACCAGAACAGTTCCTCTGAGTCCTGAGGCTGTTTGCCCTTCCAAAACAAATACATCAGTGCTGTGGGTTCCCAGCCAGCACAGCTCTAACCCTATTCCATGGGGTGTCTGAAATACCTCAAGGCGTGCAGGGCTGTTGCTTTGTATGTTTGTGTTTCTGTGTTTATAGGAACTCGTGCGCATTTCCTGTTGGTGCTGAATGCTGCACTAAAGTGCCTCTGTCCCTGCTTTGGGGCTCTTGAGGCAGCTGCATGCAGCTGCCTGGGTGAGGCAGAAGAGCTGGGCACAATGTAAACCTCTCCAGCTAAAGATTTTTAGTTTCCTGTTCATTTACACTTATAAAAGGCCAGGCTGGATGGGGCTTTGAGCCACCTGGCCTAGTGGGTGGCATCCCTACCCATAGCTGGGGGGTTGGAACTGCATGGTCTTTAAGGTCCCTTCCAACCCAAACCATTCTGTGATTTTAAATGTATTTAGTTGGTTTTATTTATTTTTTAAATTTTAGTTTCTCCCTCTTTTAATTTTCCTGTTAATAACTTTTAGCCTGACATTTATTTCTGCTAAATAGTTCCCTCAAATGTGCAGGCTGTTATCTGAGTTTCTGGAGCCAGAACTATTGCAAAGACAATTGTCAACGTAGTGACTTTTGAATTCACTAATTTATTGACTTGTTTTTCTTAGTGATACATTTTTTAATCTTCAAAACACTCAGCAGAATGAATTTTTTGAATATTCCTTACCATCTTGCCTTCTGCAAGACCTGCTTTAGGTTTCAGCATTTTTTTTCCTTAGTGAGTTGCTGTAATGAAGGACACAGCTGGCAAGAAGGTTTTAGCAAAGAGCAAGAAAAAGGGTGAATACTTACAGGGTCATGTAGAACATTTGTAAGGAATCTTTTGTAATTAAAAAAAAAGCTTTTTAAGATGACTTGTATTATTTGCTTATTAGGCTTTTCAAAAAACTTAATGAGCTGACCATAAACTTGATTTTGCATTTTTCCACTGTTCTTCTGTGTGGAGTTTGCATATTTTGCAAAAAAGGAAATTTATGTTCAAATTGTTCTTACAAATTTGTTTTCAGTTTTCCCTGGGGATGTAAATCTTCTTTTTTTTTCTTAAGCACTGCAGAAAAGCATTAACATCCTTGTGCATTTGTTTTGTTAGGGTGTTGGAAATCTGAGAATAATAAAGATTTAGGGTTTTTTTTTCCCCCAACACAAATGATTGGTGTAATGTGCAGGGGTTTGTGTCCTTCAGCCCCCCATGAAGGTCACTTTGGCTGCTCAGACTCCAGGACCAGCTCATGCCTGTCTCAGCTGTCACACGGAAACGTGACTTGGAAAAGGGGAGAGGATGCGTGAGAGCATCTCCCAAACATGTGGTGCTGCCCTTGGAGGAAAATGGGCTCTTGGATCACTGGAACATGCCCATGCTGGGGCTGGCCTCTGCAGCTGCCTGTCCCTCCCCAGTGACTTACAGCCCTGGCTCTGGGTGGCTTTGTCGCTGCTCTCAATTACTGAAATGCACTGGGAAATTATTGCTTTGTGCACGGAGCTGGGGGCAACCTGCTGATGTGTTTGAGAGAGATCCCTGCCTTATCAGGGCTCTGCTGGCATTTCTGCTGTCACCACAAACTCCTAGTTTGGACTGAAGTGGGACGTGTCACCTTTTGGTTCAAATCTGTTGAGTTGCCTTTTGGGGAGCAGAGGTGTGTGGCTGCAACAGAACACTTGGGCACTTGCTTTACTTGGAGGTTTTCTTAGATGGGCAAAAAAGTCCTGTCTCTTTTCATTTTATTTATTTTTTTTCTTCCTGATGTTTTAGCTGAGCATGCTGAATTTGTGTGGTTGGAGGTCTGCATTTTTCTTACTGGAAAACAAAAGAAATGAAAAATATAACAAACTGACATTCCAAGTAGTGAAAGAATAACACAGGATGGGGATGGAAAGTAGTGTGTTGCATTAAAAATGTATGTTTGATGTGTAGTTTTGATTCTAAAGGAAAAACAAAACAAAAAAAGCCCCTGAGGATGCAAATGATGTTTTTTTGGAGGTCCTGAAGAATGTAAAGACATTCCTGGCAGTAATTATAAGTCTGTCTAACAGGAGTGGCCACACAGCAGCCACCAAGTTTTACAGCTGTGAAGAGACATACACAGGCTACTTAAAAATTTGCTATAAATTGAAAATCTGCCTATGTGATTAGCATTTTGGGTAAAAATATGTAAACTTCATGACTCAAGGTTTAGAAACCTTGTTATCTAAAGTGGATCATACTCAACACAGTGCCAGTCATATCCTCACCATTCTCATAAAATTGAGGTAATTTACAAGTCAGGTTAAAAATTTCTCTTTGCAGCAGACCTTGTAATCAAGTCAAGCCTGGTCTGCTTAAAATAAAATTGTGTTTGCCTACTTAGCTTTGGAGAGATCCAAGCTGAATATATATATGTGTGCATATAAAAAAATCTTTTTTTGGGGGAAAAATGTGACTTCTCTTTGATATATCAACTTGTTTTCATGTATAATCACATTGTAAGGAACACCCTGGTTAATGTTTTGTTTAAATAAAATGCAGAAAAAGAAGTTTAATAGTGAACACTAATGAGGATAGGTAATATATTTTGATAAATTAAAAGTTAAATCTAAACAGAACATCATTTTAAGACTTGAGGGGTAAGTACTGAAGCAGAGTGGGAGTGCTGTGAAAATCTCTCCATACAATGAACATGTTTTAGCCCAGTGGGCTTTTTCTTATGAACAACTGGATTGATTCATTCCCTTTTTCCTAGTGTAGGACAGCTCAGGCATTTTAAATTTCGCATTAAGATGAGGTTGGGTTTCATATCTGTTAGAGCTTTGTTAGTGTTTAATTTTTAACCTTCACTTCCAGTGGAAAATTTCTGCATATTTCTTTGTTGTACAGTGTTGTAGTGTAATTTGAAACACATGTAGAGTTCTGGCACTTAATCTAGAAATGACTCGTGTAACTTCTTTGCTGTCAGTCATTGTGATATTTTTTTTTTTAAGTGAGGCAATAGTCAGGATGGTCTCCAAACTATTCTTACAGCATAGCTGAGCTGGTCTTTGGCTGGATCAGCTTCTGCTAGAACCCTGTCAGTGTCTGTGTAGGGTTGGAGGCAGAGAAATAACTGAGAATTGATTTTGAATGGGTGACAGGATCACTGGGCTTTAAAAGTCCATAGCAGGTGATTTTTCACATCTGCTCTGTCACTGGGGTATGGAGATATTTCTTGAATCTTGGAAAAGGAGAAAAGCCACAAATGAAGGGCTGATTTGATCTGCTTTGGCCCATTGGTTTTGAACACTGAATTCATTCT